GCGTACCCATGATTGGTGCTCATTGGAAAGTTTTCGTCAACCGTCATTTTGCAGCACCTGTGTACTGGAACGTGACACGATGTCGCTGCATCCGACCTTTGTGGAGTACATCGAGGGGGCCATGGCCTATTTAATGGCCGAAACGGACAAGGACAATCTCAGCATACGCGAGGTGAAGGCGCACTTTTGCAATTTCATACGCAAAATGATTAAGAACTTCTCATGTAAGCCCTCAAACGAATATATATATATATACATATATCCATGTGTTCAAGACTGATTGCCACCCGTTTATTTGATCTCCTTCTCCATCTGCTAGTGGAGTCCTGTGCCACGCTGCTGATGCGCGACCTAAAGCGCAATCTATTCAATTTGTTTGCCACGTGGTGTGGCAGCTTCTCCAAGCCACTGGGCATTACCCCGCAGATAGGCCAGACCCTCGAGGAGGAGAAGCTGCAGTTCAGCGCTTTGCAGGCAAGTTTAATAATCCGCAGAGAGCACGGCTTCCAAAAGTCTTAACCAAGTTTTTTCTGCTTTCTTGTTTGCGCGACAGGCCATGTCCGCTCTGCTCTGCTGCGGCCACATATTCTATGCGCCGCACCTGCAAGACGATGGCATCATATACAAGTGGCTGGATCTGCTGCTAACCTCCAAGGACGAAAAGGTACCCCTCCCGCACACACATAGAGGAACCACACATATTTCAATTCTTATAACCCAACAGATCTATCAATTGGCTCGGGATACGGTGGTGCTGCTGCTGGAATCCAATCCGGACATGGGCCAACTCCTTGAGTGGGTCATCGATCGTTGCTATACATCGACTCCACGCGAAGCGGATGCTTGCTTCCTGGCCCTGGCCTCGATCTTTAGCGCCAAGTAAGTGTCAGTGGGAGTGGCAGTGGGAGTGTGTGTAGGGGGGAGGCGCACATGGAGGGTGAAGGTAGCAGCGCTTAATGTTTAAGCGCCTTACGTGAGCGTTCCCTTGCCCGTGCCCCTTTTAATTTGTAACAGCCTGTTGTCCTCCACTGCCCCCGTGCCACATTGCTCATAAGCTTATTTTGCCATATATCCAGCCTCCTCTCCCATTACCGCACTGGGGGGCACACTTAAGTATCGTTTCACGTGTCTGCCGACAATGGAATCGCTTTAAGTTTACACACACACACACGCAGACATAACACACCACACCACAGAATGCGTGGGTGGTGTGGGGAGGAGGGGGCACTAGTGCCTGACAGCCTATTTGTTCAGGCCATGCACGATTTTTATTTCCGCTTCTTATTTTTCACTTTCCCCCATTATGTCGGCAAGAACAGGAGCATTTCGTAGATAAACATTAATATGAAAGCCGCATGCATGGCATGGCTCACTGCATTTAATGCATGCCAAGGCACAGGCGGCAAATGTTTCAATTGCGAATGCAATTTCGCATCTAATGCTTTGAGCATTGAATACCAAGAAATATTAATGCCAGACTTATCAGAGGCTTTCGGATAGAATAATATAAATTAGTTGAAAGCTTATGAGAAATAGTTAATTCCTCGTAAGTTTTGAAAGTTATGCCAAGGTAATACTCGTAGCACTTTGCCTTTGATGTTTGTTAATTTTGCATGATGTCGCCGCGCGAGCACACCACAAGTTTCACTCTGAAACAACATGTTGGCGAACAAGCGAATTTGAGAATTGGTTTGCATTTAGTTTCAATGGAAACTAATTTGCACGTCTGCCACATTAATCTCAGCCTCAGTCTCGCCGCAATTTCTGGTTTTCATTTGCTATGTGTTGACATTTGCTGAGGGTTCAAGGTGCATTGAACTCTTCCCTCTTATCGTAACCAAGGCAAACACTAATTTGTGGTTTGTCCAAATTGAGGTTGTGATTAAATGGACTTCCTAAAATCAAACCTCAATCAAGGAAGATTGCGGCAGCACACGCGTCTTTGTCGGCTGTACTGGTCTTCCTGTGTGCGATTTAATGTGAGAGAGTTTTTGTGCCACATGCAGCATCCAGCATCCAGCATCCATCGGCCACTCATGCAAGTTTGCTTGTTACTCTTTTCACATTTTTTCGAGGCATTTGATTGGCGGATTTTTAAGCTGCAACAGAGTGTACATAAGTGGCTGCCACATAAAATGCCACATATATGTACATATTTCACATTTTATTGGACAGAGCGTGGAAATGCTGGCCGGATAACTTTAAATTGTTGAACAAGAATGCTTTAAGAATGCTTGACAGAACGAAAGGAAACGGAAGTGCCATGGAACTTGAGGCACAAATGGATTGATTATATCGAAATATTGTGTCTTGCTGGTGGCTTTGCGGGTCCGTTGGTGGTGGCCGGGCATTGTGACCCAGGCTTATCGAAGGGCAATTTGCGTCTGAAAATTCGCTTTATTTAAATGGCCGGCAATTTAGCCATGAACTTTGATGTTAGCGCCCCCGGTGAAATGCCCTGAAATATTTTACACATGCGCTGAAAATGCCAATAAGTTTTGTGAACTTTTTCGCACACCATTTATCTCCTTAAGTGGCACCAATATTGTGGAGTAGTATGTCGAAATTGGTCTATAGTGCCTGCTAATGAGATTTTTCCACTTTCGTGGCGCTATATTCCCTATAAGTCCCACCTACAGCCAAACGAATAAAATCCGGTACTTTGTTGCCCGCTTCCACGTGTATCGTGTATGGGAATGTAAAGCCAAAAATCGATTTGCATAAAAAATTCACTTGAATGTAGGGCGTGAAATATGTTGGCATGGACGTGGGGTTGGGTTAGTCGTGTTGTCCTGCAACTGCTGTTGTCCGTAGGACCAGCTTCGGGGGAAATGTGCATACATAGATGCATATATGCAAACATATAGTAAGCTTCGGCGTTTTAATGGCTTTTCGTACATTTACCGGAAAACGGTTGACTCTGCACGCTCTGTGGGATAATAAGTCAAGACGAACGCAAAACCACAAGTCAAAAAGTCATTAAGAACCCCCACGACTGGTGCCCCTTCAATTTTATTTTATTAAAGATATTTTTTAACTTGAATTTCTATTTCAGGGAATATCCGTGCGACCATTACACATCAGTGATAACCGTGACGCTACTGATGACGGGCTGTCCGCGCGTGGAGGTGCATGCCACCGCCCTCCAACTGCTGCAGATCCTGGACAAGCGCTTCTTCGGCAGTGTCGTTGGGACCCTGCACAGCGACAACGAGAAAGGTATGAGCTCTTCTTATTGACATGGCAGAAAACTACTAGTAATGGTGCTGGAATAAAATGAAACTTCTGGCTTATACTTGACGGAAAACTTTAGTCCCGAGTGGCTCAGTGGCGGGGGAACGTTGTAAGAGAGAGAGAGGGTGGCACTGCAACGTTTACGTTGGCATGAAATAATGATGGCTTTTGTTTTGGGTATGGAACGAGTGAAAAGCTGTGAAAAGCTGTAAATGAAAGAAACTTGAGCCAACTGTAAGGGTTAAATAGATACTAAGAAGGTAAAACAGCAACTAACGTCAAATTAAGGCTTTCAGGCTTAAAGGTCTGCACTTGGTAATAGTGTAACTTTAGTGTGTACTCACAATTGAGAAGCCAAAATGACTCAAACTAATTAGAATCAGATTGAAACTACGTTCGTTTATGTCTCAATCAACTTAAGAAATTAAAGCTTTAACTGAAGTGAAGGCAAAGCTGTTTGGAGTCAACTTTGCTTGCTTTTTTATGGGTTCTTTTGGCAGAATATGTTATTAGGTAGCCGACCGCATCCGCTGGAATTCTTTGGGAGGTGGCCATACCCATGCCCCTGAAATTAGGTTTCTTTTGCCGCTGCTCCGTAATCCCTAATGTGTTCACAATGTGTGTTGTGTTTGAGTTGGCCCTTCAGCCCCATCTCAGGGCTCAAATCCGAGTTTGCGATGGGCTCACTGTCTGCCGCAGTCGAAGATGTTCCTGCTCCCTATGCCATTTCCCCCGGCAACATTTCCCAGTGCGTCAAGCGTCAAGTGTTGTTTATTTTTCCTGCTGCTGTTTGTATTTTGCATTTTAATTTCATACACCTTATTGATGCTGTTTTCTCTGTGCGGGGGTATTTTGTGTGTGTGTGTTTTATTGCATTACGTAAGAAGCTTTGGATAAGATAAGATGCTGCTCCAACGGATGCGTAAATTGTAGCCACCTCCGTTTTTCTTTGATTGGATTGACGCTTGTTTACATTTCGCTTTTACTTTCGATTTTCGATTTTCGATTTCTGTGTACTCTGCGGGTGTACTCGTATATTTTAATCCAGATCCTTGAGAGCATTTGTCTTCAGAAATTGAATGTTACAGGATAAGGGATAAGGGAATTTTGTGTGCCCCCAGATTGGACCAATATACGGGGGCGATTCTATAATTAGACAGATTACACGGCTGCTACTTCGGCAAGTTGCTTGTCTTTGGATTTTAAGCTGTTTACCCAAAAACATTACCCAGACCCAACCCCCCTAAGCCTCTTTGGACCTTTTTTTCTGTATTTTCACTAAGCTGATGAAGTTTCCTCCTTCTTGTTGCTGCTGCTGCTTCTGTTACTGCCACTGCTGTTGATGATGATGATGATGCATCCTCCATGCTCCATGCTCCATGCGCCATGCTACTGAACCTGTACCTCATAGTGAGAGTATCTCCACCTGAAAAGGTAAAATGCTAATAATAAGCCGCCATGATTCTGCCTTTCGGCCATCGGACGGACAAGCTCCGTGTGGGGGATAAGCCCGCGAGGATTGAGTATCAGCGGGTAGGATGAGATCTTATTTCGCAAATTCAATTGTCCGTAAGTTGGCGAATTACCAAATGAAAAGCCCCATTGAGCCCCCATTCAAAATGGTGGTGGATGCTGTGGGAGGCGTAGGGGGATAATCAAGTTAAATCAATTGGAAAATGAAAATGATTTAAATGGCAGTTATGGCCATTGGCAGATTCAATTAAAACGCTTTTGTCGGCCTTCAATTTAACGTAATTAACATTTATTACATTTATACATCGCTCGATTAAACTGTCATACATTGATATCATTGGTTTTTGGTTTCTTTGGTTTTTGGTTTGGTTTTCGATATTGACATTTTCAATTAGATTCCAATTTCAGGGATTTTAGATTGGAATTAGGCTAAAGTTTTGGTTTAATTAAGCGAAACAAAAAGAGTCGATTCATTTTTAATTCTACGCGGTTATTTAAACACTTCAAAATGTAGCTGTTTGTCTACTTTTATTTAAATTTAATTTTGTTCTTTCTATTTTCTGTGCAATTTCCTTTTACTTGGCCTTAGCAAACATCACAAACAAATTTTTCCCTGCACCTTTTTTTTTATTTTTTGTGTCTTGAATACTCTGAATACTAATTTTTTCTTGGACTCTTCGTTTTCTGTGTGCTTTATCTTAGCTTTTTTTTTCGTACATTTTTTTCGTGTTTTGTTTGCTGCAATCTAATTAAAATCGAAATTCTCGCTTATCCCCGGGCGCTGTTTCTCCTCCACTTGCCATTCGCCTTTCAAGAGTGGGGCCCCCGTCGATGTAGATGTAGTGGCACGGCTGCCGCTTTATAGCTTCCACCCTACTGGCCTCACTTGAGTGGATGCAACTCGTGCATTTCGTTCCAGCAATGCTGCGTCATCATCCGCCGACGGGTGGAGGTGCCTGTATTACGGCAATATTCCGACACTGTTAAAAAGAAAGAAAGTTACTGAAAATTAGGTAAAATCAGAGAAAGATGGAGAGAGAGAGAGAGCTCCTTTATATATAAGTGATATAAGCCCTCGTGTAGCATATTAATTTATTTCTATTACATTCCCTACAATTCAAATTGCCATAGCAAAAAATCATTAAATGCAGTCAAATGAGTTTTTTGCTGGGGTTGGCATTCACTTAATGGGTGTACATGTGCGTGTACGTCTGATGGAGGATGGCAGGTGCACGTGTGATGTCAAAGTTGAATAATGGTTAATAACACACATTCCGAGATTGATTCGTGCCAGCTTGCAGTTATATTGATGCTGAAAATAATTATTGTGTTCCTGCGCTTGCTATGTTATGTTTATTGCATTTCTTGTGTTGAGAAGTAAAGTTAATTAATTTTATCAGTTTAAATTAAGCTTGCGCTTCTGACTTTAAAATTATTGCTCTAATATTATTGTTATTGGCACACAATGCAATGTAGATGCTGTTTACTTATGCACTCATTTATTGGTTACAGTGGGAGAGATAGAGACATAGAGAGAGATACCGATTACGAGAGATATCAGCCGAAAGGGTAGATATGAATGCACATAGAGCGAAATCAGCAATGAAGAAGGAACCGTTAAAGAAATTCTTTGAAAGCAAAACTATTAAACATGCATTTGTGACACTGTATGCAAGACAATCACTTTCCCTATTCCGCACAGGGAAGTGCTCTTGAACTCTTTTATGGTCCCTTCGTGTGCCCTGGCTTCAGAGAGGTACTCAGCCGAAAGTACAGCCAAAAACAAGGATACAATTGCAAGAGGGCTTTCTTGTAAGCTGCACACAACGCAAAATCATCCGCTATGAAAGCTTCTAAAAATAAATGTAGCATAACTATCACATATTATTTTATGACAGTGTATGCATGACAAAGCCACCTTTATTTGGTTGATTGGTGGGTGACTCTGCTACTCTTTAATGAATTTAAATTCGATTTTTAACATGTCCTTTGCCCTCTGACTAAATAAATCCTAATTAGGGACTTGAACCTTTTAGGAACGGAACCAGATTAGTTTCCCTTTATTTTTTGTTCATTTACACATTTAATTGAAATCCTTTTCAAATGCAGGGCTTAAATTCCCCCCTTGATATCGCTGCACCACTCATCACGTATTTTATGAAGCGTTAGGAATTAAAATGGCCCATCAAACAGGATATTTATTAATCGCTTGGGCAAAGTCCTATTTGGCTTTTTGCATACTTAGGTGTCTTTTTTTTGGTTGCTGGACATTCAAATACACAAAGCTGCGATTTACGACAATATTACCGCAGTTGTGTTATGGCTCAAAAGCAGACTATAAATTCGGTATTTTGGGGTCCAGTCCTGGTCCCGTTAGTGGGTTTCAATGAGGAGCTTACTGCCACTCCCAGGGCTTATTTGTGGGGGATTTCACCTGCTGACTGCTGATGGGTACGAAACACGTTTTTACACCCTATATATATGTGGTTTTTTTTTTTGTGATATCCAATCGAATGCTGAATATGGCAATCATTTTACTTGGCATATTCCAAATGAGCTCATTTAAAAGAATATCTCAATGTCCCCTCTTTTTGTCTTGCCTTTTTCACTGGAATATTGTATTGTATTTCACGGCAATCTGAGCTAATCAATCATCCGAATACCGTACAGCGTATCCCATAAAATACTCGCATAAAAGTGCCAATATATTTTAGCCAGCGGCAATTTCCATTCAATGCTCCGCTCCTCCCGAATGTTTGTTTGTTTATTTTTTGTTTTTTTTTTTTTTTGTTGTGGGTGTGTGTCGTGTTTGCGTTTGTTCATTGATGATCTCTGCCGCAGGGCCATCGTGATTATCCTTGGCAGCAGCTATTTTCGGGCCATCTTCAGTAACCTCTACTCCCAAGACTCACAAATATCCTAAATTAAACCCGAAATTATATGCTCCACACTTTACATACATACATACAGACTCTTGACTTCCTTTTTTAATTACTTTAAATGTATCTTCCGCAACCGTGGAATATAAATAGCCTTTCGACACTTTAGCATCTCGAGGGGGTGTTGTGTCTCCTTCTTTCATCGAATGCCAAGCTCTTGTGTCGTTTTCTTCCACATTTTTTTTTTTAAGATGATTGCCATGTGTGTTTATTTGTGGGCTGGCAAGATTAATGATGACGTTCCTCGGGCTGTCCTTGACGTATTTGCTTTTGTGTGTCAGCTTTTTATTCACTGAATTATTATATAAATTATACAGTCAGCAACACAAAAGGCAACGACTTCTCACGTCATCACAAGTTTAACTTCTACTCTGAAGAACTGTGAAGACATCGTCGAAAACTTAAGTGAAATGTTGTGTTTCGTTCTGTTTTGTTTGTGAATGAATAGCCATAGCCATAGTCAGAGCCGCCTCTCCCAGGACTGTCTCACAAGTGGCCTTTGCTGAAATTTACAAGCACATTTCAGTGTTCTCTAGGCATTCGCTGAATGGGTATGGGCAACCAGGGTATGTTTAGTTCATGCAGATAAGCAGAATTTCAGGCGATCTTTTAAAATATGCCAGTTATGGCTATAGGAAACTTTTAAGTATAATTATTCTCACAAGAATTTAAAAACTCACTGGACTTTTGTTCAGAATACATCCCCACATCCGTTGACTGTATTATCGCTGAACTGTAGTCGAGGTAACAGCCTCGTCTAGCACTCCCAACTGCATCATATCCACTCGAATCTGCTGTGGCATGCTTGAATCGCGGCATTGAGCAGATGGCTTGAGAGGTGGAAGCGAGTGGCACTCGCACTGCTTCCTCCAGAGACGTGCACTGATTGACTTGGGTTCGGGGGACATACACGGATAGAGATGCGGATGGGGAGAACGTGACAGGAGGCTTCGGTAATTTATGGCCAATAAGCAACACCGTAATGAGAGCGAAAGAGCGGACGAGATCGGATGAGTGCGAACCGCGAGAGTAGTGGCGCAGAGTCCTCCTATTGTGGCTATTGCATTCAGCGCACGTAACACGCGGCGTATGAGTAATGCTTGGCGAAAAATCCCAAGAAGAAAATGTATTTGCAGAGCGCAGGATACGAGCGCCGCCTCAGGCCGTGATTAGGTGCAGATTGGCCATGAATAGGTAGCCATTGCGCACTTCCAGCGAATCGATTTCCACATTAAAAGCGCCAGTTGAGCGAAGGTGCTTTGGGATCCAATTGAGTTCAGTTTTCCCATTAGCATGGAGGGTACATCCGAGAGGAAGTGCCGACTATTTTTCATCAAAATGTAACTCATTTCCCTCATTTCAACTTTAAAGCATTCGCAAAGAGCCAAGGGCGTAGTTTCCTTGGAGTTCAGGAAACAAATGAACAAACAAAATGGTAAAGGAACAAACCGTTTGACAAACAACAAATAGTCATCATTTTAATAAGTCTCCTGCCGTGTGTCAATTCTGGAATGTTATTTCATTTGGTGCGCTGCAACTGCTCCCCGATGCTGCCACACACTCCACTCCCTTCAAACAAACACCGACACCTTGGGTATATTTGAACGATGTAAATATTTGCACGGAGCACACGACGACTCCATCCCGTTTGATTCCTTTCGTGGGCCAGAAGGCAGAAGCAAGGAAGCGCAAAAGACTGCTGCATGTGAAGCCTGCCGTCGGCAGTAAATTTCGTTTAATTTAATTTGCTTTTCACATTCTCTCTTGCCACATCTGCCAACACCTTGCAACAGTTCGTTCCTTAAGCCAAACCCCCTGCAGAATTGCCTGCACTTTTGCTGCCCTCGTTGGGAACCGTGGCCTTTGTTCGTTTGCCTTTAATGAATCGGCAAACACTTTTAATTAACAGCCGACGAAAAACCATATTGTTGAATAAATATAAAGAACATTTTGATGGCTTCCAATATAAGTGGTGAGCGGGGTATGAGACGGAAGAGAGCCTAAGAGATTGGCACCCGAGAGCACTGCCTGCCTTTAGTAAGAAATTAAAAATTGATGCCTCCCGCAAAGGTTCTGCCCCGGGTATCGTAAAACTAAATTTAACGACTACACAGAGAGGAGACTGAAAGAACAACACTGTTTGCTCGGGGATCAAGTGCCTCAAGTGCCTCTCGACCTCTCTCAAAGCTATAAAAGAATAAATTTGAATTTGAATTAATATTGAATCCATATCGGGGGCACACCAAACTATGCAACAGCAACAACTGATATGGGGCAGACTTTAGTGCATTAAAAATTGATGCCCATTGAGAAATATTATATCCCACTACTACTTTTCCCAGGAAAGATTTGGGTTGGATTAAATGAGCCTTTCTAAGCTGCTTTCCTTTGAGGGTTTTAAATAAAATAAAATAGTTTCAGTTGGAAACATTAAAGTTCTTATTTGTGGCAACTGCAATTGGGCTGGGGTTCAATAAACTGACAACTCGGAAACCATTTTTCCCCTCGCTCAAGTTAGACGTCCCTTTAATATTCCTTGTCATTTCCCGAGCACATTTCATTAACAAAACTAGGGAAAAGTGTCGTGGCGGATGCTGTTTTGTTTGCCTTCATTAAGCCGAAGCCCTGGCCCTGGCCACCCTGGCTATGTGTGTTATTGGAAAAGTTTAGCCCGAGCTAACAGAAAAAAGCGCAAGTCCAGCGCTCGGACCCCAGCTTCTGGCACTCGTTGCCCCTCTTTGAGCCCCACTACTGGCAAATTGCATTGCTGGATTTTATTTTCCAGCTGCTGACACTGAAAATGATGCGTAGAAAGTTGAGTGGTCTCTTTAATCCGTTACTCAATTTTCGCTCTGCTGCTCAGCTGCTGGTGACATCTCTTTTTGTTTATTTTTCTATCATTTAAGCTTTGTTTGGTTTTGTTGAGTTTCATCTGAAATTTTGTCGGACTAGCAGTGGCTGCCACAGAGCAACAGATCGGAGCATCCAATTATATTTAGTTACATTTATTTATTGCAGCAGTTGCATAGTTAGTTATTTGTGCCCATGGGTTGAATAGTTTGTGGCACGTGGCAGCACAAATTAGTTAAGGCGCTGAAATTAGAAGTGGATGGGACCCATCATCCATATATTTAAAGATTGAAAAGAGACCCCCCACCAGCTACATTACTTTCCCTCATCCTTCTCTGCAGGACAGCGGTTTCGTTTTTTGCTGTTAAGCTGCAGCTGTCGGACGCAGTCCCGTTGGAGATTTAGTCAGGCAGGACCTAGTCTGCTTTAAGGAAAGCTTAAAAGTAAAGAAGGAATTGTAAAAAGTTTTCTTTTCCGCTAAGTCGTTTGACTCGAGGGCTTTTCATTGAGAAAATTTATTCACAGAGCAAAGAAGGGAAGCAATTTGGAGTTGCCTTCCGAGGCAAGACTTGAATGGCGGTGTATTTTGGCATTAAAATTCGATTGGACGAGTGGTCGGTCTATCCTTTCCGATTTGCTGAATTTGTATTCTAATTGAACTTTGATTCGGTCATTTCTCAAGAGTTATCATATTTCGTTTAAACCAATTAAGTTTTATTTCTAATAAATATTCATAGAGTTGAACATTTTAAATTCAGGTAATTCTCTGAAATCTTTCCTACCAGAGAGATATCTGAAAACCCTAAGAATACATTCTCACCCCACTATCTTTCTTGTAATCAACTGGATGCCTAAAAAGATATCCAAAATCCACTTGAATGAATTCTCTTTCCTGTAACTGCATATTCCTCGTAAGCTTGAGGGCAAACTGAGACATTCGCTTGGCTTCAAACCAATTAAATTCCAAGGTTTTCAAAAATCGTATTTGTTGAATATTGAATTTGCACTTCATTGCCGTGTGTGGAGTATGTCGTGTATGCATTGCGGGTCCTTCGATTAAAATGTGACTGAAATTACTGACTCACCTGTCACCTGAGTGTTGCCCGCCTCACGTTGGGCGGCGGATACTCGCCGGAAAATGCTCAGCACTGCTTTGCTGTGGAGGTAATGGGAAAATGCTAAAATTCTTGTTTGCGATAATTTGCGGTGGATTTACTTACCGAAAATTCTGTCCGCTGACGCAGTAGAGCACAAAATTGATGCCGAAATTTGTGATGAAGAAAGCGTGAAATATATATTGCAAAGCAATTGTTGAGTTCTCATTCCTGGCCGATTCGGTCTGCCAAGCGATTGGGTGCGATTGGGAGAGATGGTACAAAGGGAAATAACATTAGAATGAAGTTCATGCGCCAATTAGAGCCTGCGGTCGCCTTGGATACCATTCTATTTATGAATCGGCCCACGTCCATAACCTACCTAACAACGGACTGTGCCGTTTTAAGGCCTCAGCGGATTTCGAGGTTGGAGGTTAATAATTCACTAATTGCCTATGCTAATGGCTATGCGAATGCCTGCTTTGTGTCATTAGTTACCCGTCGTACAAGGCTTTAAAGGAATCTCTCCACTCTACGCCGCTCCGCTGTCCTTCCTTTCATCATTTGAACTGGACACGTTCCGCATCCCAGGCTTCTCGTTGACCTGTTGAACCACAAATGGGGAGCACAGTGACACAAAAAGCGTGTGTGTGTGTGCGTGGCAGGGGCAGCAAAATAATTCTGACTATCGAGGAGCCTCTTTCCTTCCACTCAATTAACTTTGTGTCGCAATCAATGTTTGAGTTCTGGCCCATTTTTAAGTTGGCATGTGAACTTGGGTGTGAAAAGCAATTTCCACGAATACTCTTCCGGAAGAGCATATTTATTTTCTTTACAGCAAAAGTTGGGACAGATTTGGGATTCAGGATAAGTGTTTGTTGCTGAGGAAAAGAGGATATTGGATAAGCATTAGGCATTTGGGTTTTTGGGAGTAAGATCTCTCTACACCCCTCACATCACTGATTCATTTCTAATCAGAAAAACAAACACAACTTGAATGTTGCAGCTGCATGTTCAATGATTCATTCAAATAAATTTTTACTCTAATTTTTATTTTTTTTTTTGGTTTTTTGTGGTGATTGAAACTTCAGTGTGGATTGTTTTTGCTTCATCCTGTGTTCTCTCAACCAAAATTTATTCATTTAGCCGACTGTCCAGCAGCATGGGAAGTGGACTGGTTTTTGCATACGAAAAATCGGTCAGAGCGGTGACGACTTGAGGCCGAATGGCCCATCAGCACGACTCAGCTTTTGTGGATTGAGAGATTGAGTGCGTGGCAGGAGACGCAGTCTGCCCTTCTAGCAGAAGGATTTGCTAAACCAAAGCCTTGTCCGAACGAATGTTGAATGTGAAAATTACGAGAGGAATGGAATGGCATTCGTAAGTGGAATTTAATGCGTGAGAAAGTCGTGTCTGGCAGGGCCATGATGGAGAATAAATGAACATGAAAATCAGCAGTATCAGCAGCAGGCGTCTGCAGCGAATGACAATATGGAAACAATATTTCTCTAATGAATTTTTAGTAATTGAATGTGAGATCGTGATGTGGTTGTGTAAATCCCCAACAAAGTCCAATTATTTCCATTTTAATTGCTGTCGAAAAAATTAAATACAAATTACGAGTACGAGTATACTATATTGTTATTATGCCACAATGCAATAATTCCTTATATATTTAGCTAATAATTACCAACATTTATCTCACGTTGAAAGGGTACACTCTCTCATACTCGCATCCACTGTTTAGGCTTTATTTATACATTAAACTGATTTTATTTTTACGGTTTGCGAGTGCCTCCGAAGTGCACAAACTAATTAAAGGCTAATTAACACCTATGGGGAGCGGAGTCCTTTGCCATGCCAGCAGTCAGGCTGTCTCTGGCGAAGGCATTAATACGAGTGTACGTATGTTTTGCCTTTTGATGTAATTCATGCATTAAACAAGGCATTTGAGGGCCAAACGGAGAGGAGTTCCATAAGGAAGGAATGGAAAGAAAAGGAGCTGTATCTGTAGCAGGAAGAACATTACACATCCGTTGGGTCTGAGAATAGTTTGTCGTTGCCATAAGCTCGTTACGACTGGACTGTTGTCGAGTTTGGGCATTGGGCCTGGGCATTTGTGGGCAGATAATTAGCAAACGACAGCTGCCGACGCGGAGAACCAGCAATAACACAACTTCTGTATTCGAGGCATTAGGGGCGCCTGAATAACGAGCCGCCCCAAACTGCCCTGTTGCTGCCCCCCCTGCCGCTCCTAGTCTGCTCCTTTTCATGTTTATCTAACTATTTGGGTCAAGAGACCGTTCCCAAGAGGCAGGTCCATTGTCCCAGCACACAATTGGTGCAGGTTAAGCATGGATTGCTTTCCCACAAAAGAAGGAAAAGAACTGCTCTTCAACTGCAGTGGAAGTGCACCAGGTCAGTCAGACAGTCAGTCAGCCAGCCTTTTCATTCTATGTTCATTCAGAGAAATCAGATTTCAGCTTTAAAATTTCCACACCACTTACCTCCCAGTAGGCCTCGATGCGCAGCAGGCAGCTTGGCAAGTTCAAGCACACGAAAACCGTCGAGACAATGAGCAGCATTTTGGTCACCTTCAGCTGCGAGGAGTTCTGCACCTTGTGACGACGATCTTTAAAGAGAGGGGAAAGCACTTGAGTTAAGGAGTTGACAGCGGTGGGTTGGGGGGACTTTGTAATTAGTTGCAAATTATATGATAGTTGCTAAATTGTTAGACAGTTTTGTGTCAGTGTCAGCCAAAGTTGTCGAGGCGAGGCGAGGCGAGGCAGGATGTCTCTCAGATGAGTTTTTCAGCTTTTGTTTTGCGAGATTCTTAAATGTCACATGTTGAGTCGGTGTGGCCTCTCTGCTCTGGTAATTGGCTCAAAACAAATTCCGAGTGAAACTGAAATGGCTTAAAAGAAACTTTGGCCATTTCCCTTCCGTTCCCTTCCCTGAAATGCCGTGCCATGCCATCCCCCGTTCCTTGGAAACTTTTTCTCCTCTTTCTGAGAAGAAAAATCTCATCCGAAGTGTCGCGAATGTCATAGTAATGTTTTCCGAATGAGGAATCATCGCATCGCTCGCTCACCTGACTTCTTTGTAATCTCGCAATGGTGCTGACAACTGTTTATATGCTGCTGCTGCTGGTGCTCCTGCTGGTGCTCCTCCTGCTGCTGCTGCTGCTGTTGCCTGGCCACACTATGCTGTCCACTCGGATGTGTGCCAGTGGACTTCTGGCGCTTCAACGATGTCGAAATACGATACGAGGCAGCTGCCGAGGGGCTCGTCGAATTCGATGGCATGCTGGTTGTCTGTGGCTTCCTGTAGGATACAAAATATACACACATTATTTTATTATTTGCCATGCAATCCGTGTATGAATAATTCAAAGTGAATCCTTCCGGCCACTCGGTACTTTTCTCGTTTTCAGGGGCATATGCAAATGCAAAAGCCAAATCGAATGAGACTTAGGCCAACAATCAACTCACATCTTGTGCATCGTGAGGGTCCGTCGGACGGTGGCGAACTTCCACACTGTGCAGCCCGTGCAGGTGTTCAACACGGCAATGGTGGTGAAGGGCACCGCATAGACGACAATCGAGTCCCAGTAGTTGAACAGGGCCAGCTGCTCCTGCAAACAGAAACCAGAAAGAGTTGCTATTCTGGGTGATAATTCGATTTGTTTTGTGGTCCAATCAACACGGCGTATACGTAATTCAGCTGTACTCCACCCTAGAATTCATAGAGCCAACTCTAATCGAGTTTGCCATACTAAAAGCTGCAAATAATTCGATTGCAAAGAACAGAAACACAGGGCAAACCAGGGGAGTGGCAAATTACAAAAAAAAAATCTTAAATTGTGTAAACTTTCGCTTTAACGAAGCCAAGCCAAAAAATGCTGTAATTTAAAACCTTTCTACTTTAATACTCGTAGTTGTTGTATTTGAAAGGCTTTATAATTTGCACACGCTATTCGATGGAATTATTTCTTAGCTCCACTGATAAGTTGTAAACTCCTGCCACGTTCCACGCAAAAACAATCTCTCTCTCACCGTCTCACTCTCTGTCTCTCTTCGCTTCGCTTCGCTTCTTCAGTCTTGGCATACTTTTCATCAGCATTTCCAGCTTGATGAAGCGAAGAGGGAGAAGAGAAAGCAATAGCCTTTGGCTTGAATGCTTTGTCGGTAAACTATTTGCCCCGCGTACCGCGCATTTATTATGCCCGGTAAGCAAAGAGGGTATGTTGCATTCGTGTGGGGAGTGCACAGTTAATAGGCAACAACAAGGTGCAATTAATATAATTTAAGTTTGGGTTTCTGCATGGAACACCTTCGTGTGGAAGAGATACAGAGACAAGTATCTGCCAATACTCGATATATATTATTAATCATATTGATTACATTCATTGAGCATCCAGTAGTCGATAAATTCCATTCCACATGCGAGAGCCGGGCTCTTGGCTTTGGTTCAGGGTTTAGCCTGATAAATTCCTGGCTGCCTGCATACTTTCATGTCTGAAATGTTCAATCTGTAATGTTTCAGGACATTGGGACGTAGCCATCGGACGTGCGATGTGGGCGGGCGAATGGCCATTCCGGCCTTCGAGTGCCGCTGCTAGTGCCGCTTCTATTTCATTGTGGTTCTGGCTAATGTCCAAACAAACAATGCCATTTGTTTCAATCACAATTACCCAAAAATGGAGAAGAGCATAAGCGCATTATCATTCATTAGGAGCCTTTTGTCTAATTAAACGTGCTGGTGTCTGGTCTCTGGCGGAAATTTAAGCCAAAACACTTTAAAGAACAGGGGTAGGAACCACTCCACACGGTTGTCTGCACTCGCAATCATCACAATCAACATCCGTATCATCTTCTTCATCATCATCATCAGATGGGGCTTGTTGTATTTCCATTTACATAATTTCAAGTGTTGGCAAGCATGTTTCATAACCATTCAGAATATGTTAATCACCAGAAGAATGAAATCAAAATTGTTTAACAAGTATCCAGCCATCCATCCATCCATCCATCCTAGAGCTGCAGCTTCAATATATTTTATATTGGGCATAAATTTCCAGAGCGTTGCCTGCAGCAAACATTTTTCTTTTTTATCAAAATTTTCCTTTGTCCTTATGGGCAGCTAAAAGGCCAAAAACTAAGACCCCGAAAAGGTGTAGCATTTTCAAAATATAATTATTATACTCGTATGAATTATATATTGCGTATCGGGAGAATGAATGATCTATTGATTGGACATTTTATTTGGCTTTGACCATTTTCCCAATGGGTGTGGGAGTCCTTGGGGTAACTCTCTCTGGATAGATAAACACCTCGGAAGGGCCTCAATGGCCTGTCATAACAGGCAAAAGCCAAGGACATGACCAAAAGCATTAAATTTATTTACTTCTTCCATTTATTGTTGGCTATTTGCTATTGTTGGGGGCCGGGCCCAGTCCTGGTATTTTTCGTCAATATTCCACGGCTCGTGTGTGGTACGATATTATTTTGTGTGTCGAGTGGATCAAAGTGTAATAGCTCGTAAATTTTCAATCAACAGACGTTGATGTTGCTGCTATTTGATGCTCTTGATACCCGTACACGGAATTGTTGAGGCCGTATAACTAATTCCAATTGAAACTTAATTCTTATTGGCTCCTGCTTTTGAGCCCGATGACCAATGGCCTTCTTCATGCGATGAGTATGATGCTGAGAGCCCCTCTATCCCATTACCAAATTGTTGTATGATTGAGCCATTAAAAATCGGCACAAAATTGCAAAAATGTTTAACGAGTATCCAGAGCTACAAAATGTCGACTCCAGTCCACAACATGTGAGTTGGCATCCATTTCTGCCTGGGGGGCGGGCCGGACATTAGCCATAAGACTTCTTAGACACTTCCTGTGACCTTTTAGCCTTCTGTTCTTCTGTTCTTGGCCCAGTCAATTTCAATTTGGCTTTGCATCTGCTCCCAGTTACACTTCAAAGGGCTAAGCTTGCTGCTGTTGCTGCTGACCCCCATCAGAGATGGCCAGAGATTGCCAGAGGCTAAAAGTGAGCGGGTTGCTGCTGCTGCTCTTTAAGTGATATTTAATTTATGGCAATTTTCTTAAATTTCTGCAGCTGGTAGGTTTTTTTTTGTTTGTCTTTCTGTCCAGCCTTAATGTGGTTTCAATTCCCACGAATCTCAAAATTACCTTTTATCAGCTTAAACAATAATTCCAGACCGGTAAAGTGCCATCATATGTCTGTCTATTCATTAGAATCCCATTCAGCGGGAGAGCAGTAACCGCGTGAGTGTCTACTTGGAGTGCTTCTTGCCCCACGGAGCTATCTGCGGCATCTGTTTGCAAAGGGAGGATGTGAAGAAGAGGAGCAGCCTGCTCCTGCTTTTGCTGCTGCTCCCTCTTGAATGCTATTACCCAATGATTTGTTTCTTTCAATATGCCAACCGCCAAGTGCAGAACGTCTATTTAAAGCTTAGAAGCGATGTCTGTTTGAAAATTTATGGGCTCCCTGGGACACGGCGACTGTGTGTTCCACATTTTGCAATATTCTACAGCGCTGGATGGAGGAGGCTCCCCATTCTCCTGCCACTCGATTGTCATCCATCCATCCTGGCATATTGCCAGCAGTCAAAGGAGGAACCGCGCATAATTTCGTGGTCTGCAGACAAGTGGCAGGCAGGCAGGCGGAGTTGCTGATTGAATTTGAATATCCCTCTATCCTGTATGTATGTATGTATGCATGTACATATGTCTATCATCCATCATCCATCATCCATGGGCTGTTGTCTGCTGTCTTCGCCAAGTCGTAAGATGGCGCGACTCTTTACGCTTCATTGTGTGGCCAATTTGGCTAATAGGCCGCTAGGCCCCGTCTTGTGTTTCCCCAGCGTAATACACCTGGTCCCTATCCTATGTTTGACTTGCACTGTGTCTGGGTACACACACCGAAATTAGCATTGAATTTCAGGTCCAAAAAGCGTGACTTCAACCGTGCAAGAAACGAACCAAGAGAACAGCAAACAGCTGAGAAATGGAATGAAATTCGAGATTTATCGGGGCATGAGAATTGAAATTGGCCCCGAACTGAACCCATGGCTTCCTGTACCCTCATAACCATCGGAAGTGCCTGAAAAGTGCCACGGACAGCGAGCCACACCCAGACCTAGAACACGCGCTCCGGCTTTGGCTTGTCCCTGTCATTTCCAGTCCCAGTCCCAATCCTTGCTTGCCTATGTCCAATGTCCAGGAAAAATATTTGCCATGCTTTACGAATTACAAACGGTCCTTCGTTTCTCCCTTTGCCAGGGTATTTTAAATTCGTGTAGATCAGACAGAACAAAGTCTTTTTGGATAAATAAGAACTAATGCAGTGCCCTCGCTCTCTTCCCTCTTTGCTTCATTCAAATCCACACATAGCACAATATTATGGCGCCCAAATTTCAGAATCCCACATTCTATTATAGACATTCTTTAGAGATCTTTAGAGATCTAAAAACAACTCATAAATACTATTTAATCGAGCGGTTCGTAATTGCAGCCAAAATATACAAAAATACATGCCCAGATATAAAGATTTTGTTCTTTGTTTTTGCAAGCAAAGCAAATGAAATAATGTTCGGAATCTTTTGTCTGCAATTTCAACTTTGGAGAACTTTTTGCGAAGAGGGTACTTTACAGTCGCGATTATATTTATTGTTGGCCTTTTGCCATTTTTGGCTTGCCGCTGTCTGTGTGAAACATATTGGGGCGATAATTTGTGGCGGCCTTTTCTTCCGCTAATAAATGGTTAATTTGTTCTCACAAAAGCCACGCAGCGGTATGCGGGCCACCAACTAATTGACTAATTGCTCTCGTTCTGGCCAAATTATATCGCCTCCTCATGCCCCTGCCGATGGGAAGGAAGCGTGTTCCGCATATCTTAACGACATTTATTGGAGGGCCCGGGTTAATTGACGAGAGTGTCAATGCCATGTGAAGCGAAAGTAACGAAGGATCCGAAGGATATAAGCGGTTCAAAGGCAGCCAGCTGTAAATGGCGATGACAGAAGGGTTCCATCCATTTTCCACTGCCAACAATCGAATGTACATAAATGCTTTGATTGTAATTTTGTGATATTTTTCAACAATTTGGTAGGCCATTTATTTGCACAAAGCATTGCGAATTCCACCAACAATACTAATGGCAGACAAAATTTCAAAAATACCAGGAATCATCTGTCCATTCATCGTTTGCAGATACATATGGGTGACCCGCACCCGCGCCCGCTCCCGCTCCCCGTTACCAATGGCAGCCCAAATGAAAAATTCTAGGTACCGGAAGAATGCGTTTGATGAAGTTGGATTTTGATGTGTGACAGGGAGATGTTTGCATCAACCAGAAAACATTTTACATCAAACAAAAAGTATTTTTACCGGAAAAACACACACGGACACGGACACGGACACGGACATACACGTGCTGATACGGATGCGGATGTGGGATAATACTTACTTTATATTCCGAGTTGAGATCGCAAATGGTGGCATTTAACTTGGGAATAAAGACGGGCTTGGCAATCAGGATGTAGGGCAGACAGTGCAGGCATCCGGCCAGAGTGAGGCACGAGAGCACTATCTTGGCCCGGCGTACAGTGCACATGGTCTGGCGCTTCAGTGGGTAGATGACAGCTATAAAGCGCTCCACGGTGAAGGCTACCACAAACCACACGGAGCAGAAGGCGGCCAGGTAGCTGAAGAATGTGAAGAATTGGCAAAAGTAGTTCCTGTTGTAGATGTCCACATTGAGGAAGTTCAGCCACTGGGCAAAGAGTCCGCCCAGAAAGCAGGTGTCGCTGACGGCCAACGCCGCCAAGTAGAAGCTCGACGATAGCTTTCGCAGCTTCGTCTTGAAGAAGACAAACACGGAGAGGATGTTGCCGATGCTGCCCGTGCAGCAGAGTATCGGAATGTAGTACTGATGGACAAAGTCCCCGATGAAGAAGGCGATGCGTAGCATCTCCTCATCATCCCCGGACATGTAATCCGTGGAGTCGGTAGTCGTGCCGATGGCCATGCTTGAGTTGCCGCTGTTTCCCGCTGTTGCGTTGCCATCGCTGGAGGTTGTTGTTGCTTCTGTGGTTGATATGCTGCTGCCGCTGCCGCTGTTGCTGCTGCTGCTGCTGGCTATTGCCTCCATATAATCCATATCTGCCATTGTTTTTCCTACACTTTAAACCATTTCGCACACTGTTTTCGGTCTTTAAGAGAGTGTTCTCTTGTTGTTTGTTTGGAGAACTAGAACTAGGAGGTGTCAATCGAGGGCCATACAACTAATTAATTGCATTTCTCACCAACACTCTTCGCCAAACTTAAACAATTTGACGCTCTGGCAAGAGGTAATCGGTTTGCTCTTACGCCTTTCCGCTTTTGCACATTTCTTTTTCTGGGTTTCGGGGGAAAGTCTCCAGACAAGCACTTGCCAAGTCAAACAATTAAAAGTTCCGACTGCACCCCAAGTGTGTAGCAAGTGCTTTACTTTAGTGTCTCTTGCACTTGAGATTCGCACTCACTCTATTCCTTCGAATAGAAGTACACTACTATTATTATGCGTGTTTGCATGAGATTCCACCCCGCAAAAGTTATTGGAACTTTCGATTGCCGTTCACTTAGTCTTTTCCCCCAAGTTCATTATCGGCGGGAAATCTTTTCGCGCGAGTTCCGTAATGAAGTAAACAAAAGCACAACAAAGTATTTTTTCAGGTGGATTTAAAAACTTTTGCCACACATTCAAAGTTTTCCCCTCAAACTTCTTGCGATGCTGGTCTGCTGGCCCGCCGGCCCGCTCTCTGGCGATCTTGTTTTATTTTTAATTTTTAATTTTTTCCTTGAATGCCAAAACTTTTTGATTGAGGTTTTGGCTTGTGGCTGAGAATATTATCTCCGATAAACTAGAAATTCGTGGAATTGAATGTGGTCGATATTTTACACGGCTACACTCCATTTAATTAGACTGGAGTTCCTCTTCGACCGGAGTCTTAGGCCCTGGCTCTGGCTCTGGCTGTGGCTTAGGTTTCCTTTTTGGGCAGTTCGACCAGCCAGCAGGACAATGAGCGCGCAACTAAGCCGAGACAATGGCCACGGCGGCCTTTTAAACGAATCCTTTCGGACGGGGCTCCCCGTTGGAAGGCGCCAAACGAAAGCTCTTTTCCTCGTGCTGCTGCTGCTCGGCGTCGGCGCCGACGCACTGGCTGTGTGCCTGAGTGGCAGGGTGGACTTTCATTCATAAATTCAACAGGTTACAAGGTCAGGGCTGGCAGGAATGCCAACAAGTGGCTGGGCACCACGCTCGCGGATTAGCCCAGCAGCTTTGTTAGCAGGAGAATGCGAATGCCATCGTGGCGGCAAGACAATGAGCCCTGCCCCTCAATGAGCTTCTTGCGGGGCTCCTTGCCGGGCGGCAGAATCCAAACAATAACAAGCCGCCCTTCCAGTTGGCGGCTTTGGTTAATGAGGGAAGCTTTCGCGGCACGGCTCTGGAATGCGGCCAAGACCATTTGCCGCCAAGTGGGGAAAAAGCTGGGAGCTGGCCACAGTCGCCTGCCGTCGTTGGTCGTGTCGAGAGCTTCGCAATGTTGGGTTGGGCCTTTTCCATTTGTACTTCTGTGAGCCCAATTCGCCCATCTAACTTTTCTCGTCTCCTGTTTCATTGCAGAGGACGACAAGGTAGGAACTCTGGATGTGCTCCTGAGCAGCGCCTACTGCCGGTCACAGCGATTCCTCTCCAAGCAGCTGGCTCAGCTCCGGCCAGAGCTCACCATGTCCATCTTATCGGGTGAGTGGGTGGATGCCCTCCCTCCTCCTTCTGCTCCTACTCCTGCTCCTGCAGAAACTTGAATCATATTTGTTTGTTTTTGTTTGCTCTTTGCAGAAATAACCCATCGCTTTCAGAGTGCCCGCGAGGATGTGCGCGCCCTGCTGCTGCAGTGTCTGCTGCCCTGGCTGCAGAACATGGAGCTGGTGGCCACGAGTGTGCCACCAGCCACGCCCCTCTCCTACATTATGGTAAGCGAAGCGAAAGGAAGCGCGAAATTGCCTTCCGTGCTCACTGACTCGATTCTAACGCTCGTTTCCTACACTCTTCCGCCAGTACTTTCCGGATTCGGGTACACGAGGCCGCCGCGAAGGCACCGGATCCACAGAGGCAACGGAAATGATTCTTAATAATCTGTTTTACATCACCTCCAAGGTAAGAAGGGAAGGGCCCTTGTCGATGTCACTTTCAATCTTTAATCGCTTTTAATCTTCGGCGGCGGCGCTGCAGTTCTCGGATGGCCATCCGCGCGACATCGAGGAGCTGTGGGGCACCTTGTGCCAGTTCTGGCCCAACAATCTGAAGGTCATTCTGCGCTATCTGGTCATCATGAGCGGCATGGCCCCCACCGAGCTGCTGCCCTATGTAAGAAATCCTGTAAAGTTGGCTCTGACAAACGGAAGAAGCTAATCCTCGATTTCTGTTGCCAGGCCAAGCGGGTGGCTCTCTATCTCGCTCGGAGCTGTCCGGATCGACTGCTGGATGAGCTGATGGCCGAGCTGCAGACTGTGGAGACTCTGAACTGTCTGATTGAGCGCACAGAGACGCCTCCCTTCTATCGGCTGACCAGCATGCGGAAGGCCTCCAGTCACAGTGCCGATGGTAGCTCTGGGAATCCTCTCTCTTAAAATGAAATACAAACCTAATTCCATTCCCTTCCGGCAGGCCAAGCTGTGGGCGGCATCAATGACTCCAGGATTCAGGATTTGGCCGTCGAAAAGGGCACCATACACACCAAGCGCCACAGCGGCGAGGATCCCATTAAAATTGGGCAAGTCCATCAGAAAGTTTGTCTCCCTTAAAGCTCTCTCACTAACGTTGGTCCCAACCACAGAACCTGCAAGTCGGATAGCGGCATTCGGGCCTATACCCAAGCTGCAGCTGCCGCAGCCGCCGCTGCTGTCACGCCCGGCTCTGGGGGAAGTCGACCGCCCCGCGGCGCAGACAAGATACGGGCCGCCTCTGGTCCGTCTATACTGCCCCGACCGGAGGACATTCTGATCAACGACCCGGAGCTGCGACAGGAGGAAAATGTTGAGCTGCGCGGCACCTCGGAGTCGCAACCAAATGCCCATCCACATCCGCTGCCCATGCCCGAATATGGGGGATACTTTGCACCACTCACCGAATTCCTGCCGGATGTCAGTTTGCCCATCAGCGGATTCCATCGGTGAGTCTGAGTCTGAGTCACAGTAGCGGTAGCGGTAGCGAACAATTAGGACAGGTCACAGTTTCAGAGTTAAATCTGAATATTTGCCAGGGATAGGAAAGGGATGGGGAAGGGTAGGAAACATTTGGCAGCCCAATTAGGTGTACGAGTAGATTTGCAGAGCATTGAACAATAACTTTTATTATGTTCCGTTCAACACGGATCAAAGGCAACGATTGGACAGACCTTTGGGAGAGTACAACTCTCATTAGTAATAGGCCACTCCTGAGTTGTCGCGGATCCATTCCAAGTGATCGCTGACACGGGTGTAGCCGGAAGGTCCATTCTTGCAGGAGACGGAGGCAAAGGTTATCACACCCACGAGCTTAGGGTCGTCTTGTGTGACCAGAGGGCCACCGGAGTCGCCACCGCAGACTGATCGTCCGTCCGACTGCCTGGTGCACATGTCGGTGCTGGCCACAGAGCCGTACGACTGGGCGCACTCATTGTTGCCGATGATCTGCACGTCGATGCACTGGAGCCAGTCCGCGAGATTGCCATTGTCCATGCCTCCCCAGCCGCAAGCGACGCACCACCAGCCCTCGAAGCGTTCTCCCTGCTGGTTGAACGACGGAAGAGGGATCTTGTTGACCAGATTGGTGAAGTCCACAGCCGGAGTGCGGATGAGGCCGATGTCGTGGCCAGCCGAGTTGCCGAAGCCTGGGTGAAGGATAAAGTTATCCCTTCGCACGTTGTGCTTGTACAGACCGTTCCAGCCCCAGTTTGAGCCGTAGTTGATGTCAACGGAGTCGGTGGTGAGGCAGTGGGCCGCAGTCAGAATCCAATTGCTGGCTATGATGGTGCCAGCGCCAACGGCTCCGCTGTTGCTGCCGTCCGTCTTCAGGAACAGGCCTACAATGTAGGGAGCCTTGCCCTCGGGGGCTGAATAGCCATTGACGATTCTGCCCGATGGCTCAGTACGGTTTGACGCGGGACTTCCGCTGGCAAATGCCAAGGCAGAAGCCACCAATAGAATGGCACACGATAGCTTCATAGTTATGCTGGAACTGTGCTCTCCCTCTCCACTGTGTGGGGCGTCGGTTATATACCAATTGTCCGGCTCTTGAGCTTATATTTTGCATCTTATCTACGGAGATAAAGTTTTGTTTCTTTTGTATGTTATTTTAATTAATATTTTTTTGGTTTCTTATTATGACCCGTGCAGGAAGTTACTAACTCTACAAGTTGGTAACTAGAAGGTACTTAGCATTTTTTGATAGGCCGTAAGTACCGCCGTAAGTACCGATAAGTACCATAGACAATCTGCACCATAGATATCATTGTTTTCGAATTGGTTTACTGAACTCCGGGGCGGTCCCGGTTTTTTGACGAATTAAATTAATACTCTGATATCGGAAATCGAACCACTCAATCTGTGCCCCAATATCGCATTAATAAGAGATAAGAGCAGTGAACTTCCCCGGATGTGCACGAACAGATGTGCTGTGGTAGGATGGATTCCTGCCAAAAGAAAGCCTAAAAGAAGTAGTCGGGGTGTATATATTTCGGTATATATAAGGCCCTTGGAAGTGTCCCATGTCGTCTCATGTAGGTAGAACAGTACTGATTTTCCCCTACGGCGCGGGGGTCCAAGCGTCACTTATGCTAGCTTATATGTTAGGGCCGCTGGGGAGTCGTGTGGATCGTGAGCGCGCTGTCGGAGAGCGCTAACAGAGCTGTACCCGGGAGCGGCTACAGCCTAGTAGCGGATAGCGAAACCGGCTCTTACGCTGGGCTGTTGACAGCGCTGCTGCCCTGCTCGGGCTGCTGCCTGAACAAGATCTCTCGAGCAGCTTTCTTTTGGGATGCACGCGGTGTCAATAACACCGATAAAATATTTATTTATTGTCAGACAGTGGCCCTAGTTTTGTATTAAAAGAAAAAGAGAGAGAAGCCCGTTCTCCGTTGAGCCCAGGATCAATGCTAGTAATAGGCCACTCCTGATTTTTCGCGTATCCAGTCCAAGTGATCGGTGACACGGGTGTAGCCGGTCGGTCCATTCTTACAGCCACCGGAGCCAAAAGTTATCACGCCCACCTGCATAGGATTATCGTGTGTGACCAGAGCGCCACCAGAGTCTCCACCGCAGGCACCCCTGCCGTCCGACATCCTGGTGCACATGTCGGTGCTGGCCACAGCGCCATAGGACCGGGCACACTCATCGTTGCTGATGATCTGCACGTCGGCGCACTGCAGCCAGTCAGCGAGCTTGCCGTTGGACATGCCGCCCCAGCCGCAGGCGACGGTCCACCAGTTCTCGAAGCGTTCTCCCTTTTGGCCAAACTTCGGCAGCCGGATACTCTTCACAACGTTGGTGTACTCCACGTACGGAGTGCGGATCAAGCCGATGTCGTGGCCGGCCGAGTTGCCGAAGCCTGGATGGCGGATGAAGTTCTCCTTCCTGACGTGGTGCTTGTACAGGCCGTTCCAGCCCCGATTCGATCCGTAGTGGATGTCCACCGAGTCCGTGGTGAGGCAGTGGGCTGCGGTCAGGACCCAAGTATGGGATATTACGCTGCCAGCCCCAACGGCTCCGGCGTTGCTGCCGTCCGTGAACAGGAAGAGGCCAACAAGGTAGGGAGCCTTGCCCTCGTAGGCTGGATAGCCATTGACGATCACATTATCCGGGGTCGGTTCTTCCGTACTATTGCCTTCGGGAAATGCCAAGGCAGAACCCAAAAACAGAATTGCCCACAATACTTTCATGATTGTGCAGGAAGTTGGTTCTCCACTGGGTCGGCTGCAGCAACTTATATACGAGCCACTGGCATACGGCAGAGGGAAGTACTTCGGCTGGGGGGTAATTAGCGATAGAATCCGTAATATCTGTGGTATCTGTATGGCTGACACCACCTAATGGCTCCTAATGGTCATTAGTTTTGACTTTCTGTAAATGCAATTAACGGAGAGAACTCTTTAGAGACCTGCCGTTGATATGCCATCTAATCCGCCATCTTGCTCTCATTTACAGATGCAACGTGGCCGTGATGCTGCTCACAGACATTGTGGTGGATGGAATTCCGGGCATCGATTGGACGCTGCATCTGCCACTGATGCTGCACATCCTGTTCCTGGGCCTGGACCACACGCGCATCATTGTGCGGGAGCACTGCAAGCAGCTGTGCGTCAACCTGCTGATCGTGCTGGCCGAGCACAACGATCACCTGACCGTGGCCCGCATACTGCTGAACAGCGAGACGAGCAAACTGGACCTGGGCCTGACCGTGCCCGCCCTGCCCGTGATCGACAACAATTTCACGGAGCTGCATCAGCAGTTCGACAGCTATCTGCTGCATGTGAGCCCCCAGGCCGCGGCCTATGCCCTGCAGCACAATCTGTCCAGCTCCACGATCATTGCGGCCCACTCCAGCTCCAATCAGCAGGCGCATAACCTGCAGCAGGCATCTGGCTGCCAGACAAGCGCCAGTGCCACGCCCCCGGGTCTGGCAGCGACGCCCGCCGCCCTGCAAATCAATCCGAACAATTCCGAGAACTCGGAGGTGCCGCTCATCCACGCGGACGAGCACGCACCGCCCCAGCCCGGCCCCAGCATGCCCATTGCGCACGTCATCAAGAGCCTGCTGAAGTTCCTCGCCCAGGACACGTGCCAGCCGCTGTGGAACTACGAGGACATCACCGCCAAGGTGTGGGCCGTGAAGTCAGCGGAGCAGCTGAGCTGCTTCCTCAAGCACATGGTGAAGGTGTTCGCGGACAGCTATCCGCAGGCGCGCATCGCCGAGCGCTGGGCACAGACCGCCCTGCAGCTGGGACTCTCGTGCTCCTCGCGCCACTACGCCGGACGTTGCCTGCAGATCTTCCGGGCCCTGAATGTGCCCATCAACTCGCGCATGCTGTCGGACATTCTGTCCAGGCTGGTGGAGACGGTGGCCGAGCAGGGCGAGGACATGCAGGGCTATGTGACCGAGCTGTTGCTCACTCTGGAAGCGGCCGTGGACAGCCTCGACTCGGACTTCCGGCCGCTGGATGTCATGAAGGACATCTTCAAGAGCACACCCAACCTGAACAACAAGGACGGCGGCCCCAATTCCATTCTGCCCGGCAAGAAGTCACCCTCGGGCATGACGCCTCAGTCGTCCAACTACTCGATACCCAGCCATGGCCGCAGCACCAGCTACTCGGTCTCCTACTGCGGCCGCAAGGCCAACAACTCGCCCTGCGACAAGCAGGTGGAGCTGAGGAACCGCGCCTCCGGCATCGACCTCGAGCGCAGCGTTGTCTGCAAGTTCGGTGTCGGCGGAGTGGGAATGGGAATGGGCGCTGGCTCGGCCCTGTCGCGATCCCGTAGCGCCCAGAGCCTGAAAATGTTGGGCGACACGGCCACCCAGGACGACAAGATGACGATTTTGGCACAGCTCTTCTGGCTATCGGTGTCGCTGCTGGAGTCGGACTACGAGCACGAGTTCATGCTGGCTCTGCGCCTGCTGACCAGAGTGCTGCACCGCCTGCCGCTGGACCGTCCAGATGCGAGGGACAAGGTGGAGAAGCTGCAGCAGCAGCTCAAGTGGACAGCCTATCCGGGTGTGCATGCGCTGCTCCTGAAGGTGCGTTCTCAGACGAAAGAAAGTCCGAACCAGAAGATCATTAATCGATTTCTCTTCTAGGGCTGCACTCACAGTGCCACCTACGAGCCGACCATCACGCTCCTGTCCCAGTTCGCACCGCTGCTTACGCTGCCCGTGTGCGATCCGACCCAGAGTTGCGCCTTCCCCATGAACGTCATTGCGCTGCTGCCCTACATGCTGTTGCACTACGAGGACGCCAACGAGATCTGCATACGCAGCGCCGAGAACATTGCCCAGGTCTCCACGGAGCTGGGAGCCAAGCTCGAGAACCTGGGCACCGTGATGTTGCTCTACAGCCGCAAGACCTTCTGCAAGGAGTCCTTCCAGTGGACAAAGTGCGTGGTGAAGTATCTGCACGACACGTACGCCCACATGGGTCTCCACATGGTGGCCTTCCTCATCGAGGTGCTGGAGAAGGGGCCGCAGCAGGTGCAGGTGCCCGTCTTGAATGTCATCCACTGCATGCTGCACTACGTCGACCTGTCGGCCCCGCAGGCCCAGACCATCAACGCGGATCTCTTGCGCGCCATTGGAAAGTACTTGGATGTGAGTCGAGCCTGTCGAAAACTATTCACCCACGAGCTGAAATTTAATGGTATTGTTATTGTTATTGTTGTATGTTTAATCCCAGACGGTCAACTGGAAGGACTCGCTGAAGATCCTCAAGCTGATCGTGACGCGCAGCTCCTCGCTGCAGGTGGCGCCGCCCAGCGACGGCAGCAGCGCCGGCTTATCGTTCTCCTTCTACGGAGCATATCCGGACTCGGATATGTTCTGTAAAAAGGAACTGGCCGGTCGCACCATGGAGTTCACCTTCGACGTCTCGCAAACGCCGCTCATCGGGCGCCGCATCTTGCTCAAGAACGAGGAGTCCGCCCCGACCGGAGCTGCATCCACCACGGGCAGCTCTTCGCTGAACTCCACCCTGACCAATGCCACAGCGGTGACGGTGGCGCCCAGTGCCCAGCTGCAGGCCAATGCACAGTTGCAGCAGCAACGCGCCCAATCGAATGTGGCGGCCATTGCCGCGGCGGCAGCTGCCCAGCATCAGCAGCAGCATGCGATCGGAGCCGGCAGCAGCCTTGTAGGCACACCGAACTCGCCACGGCGCAGTGCGAGCCTATCGCCGGCGGATACCGTGCCCTTGAGTGGATGGAAACGTCCCTGGATGTCGCAGTGTCGCGTGCGTGAGTGTCTGGTCAACCTGCTGACTACCTGTGGGCAGCGTGTCGGCCTGCCCAAGTCGCCATCGGTAAGTGATTGCTTCGACGGGAGCTGGAGCTGCTTCAGCATTCGGCTGCTGCTTGTACATAGCCAGGTGCATGCCTTAGGCTCCCCTAGAGCTATCCTAATCCCCCCTCTCTAATCTACTCTACTCAACTCAACTCAACTCTCTGATGTGGCCTTCATGCATATGCGATTATTTATTTCTAACTCTTTTTCTTTCATGTAAAACAAAATCAAAAAAACAAAAATCAAAATCCAAAACCAAACAAAAAACAAAACCAATTAACACGCCATTATCATCATTAACAAATCAATCCAAATCGATACCAAATCGAAACATACTCGTACTCAATCCTAGGACGATTTCATAAACTCAATTTGCTCAAAGGTAAAGGACACGTTTCTCTGTGCCGCGACTTGTTTTGTTTTGCTTTTCTGTGTATTAAATGTAGGATTAGATCGCATGTCCGTAGATCGCATCTCGCAAGCAATGATTCGTTCGTTTCTTTCTCTACTCTCTGCCTGCCTGCCGTCTGTGTTTCATTTCCATACATTCCAACACGAACCGAACTGCCATTCGCTTGACCGTTATATCCCCATTACCATTACCATTTTCATTTCCCATTTCCACTTCCATGTTGTGCATGTGTTTTGTATCAAACTTTACCTTTCGTTTCGTTTCGTTTACTCTGTTTATCGTTTATCTGGGAACACATTTAGTCGTTAAGCACGTCACTACTAACCGGATCGATTGCGACCAGACAAAGCGTAAGCTTTATCTTATCTTAACACTATACTCGTACAACTCTACTATATTATAATCCCTGAATGTTGAGAGCTCCTGCATTGCCCAGAGTCTTACTAATCTCTGCCCCATCCACTGTCCCACAGGTCATATTCAGCCAGTCGTCGGATCTGATGGAGCGGCAGTCGTCGGCCGCCTCTTCCACCGAGGAGACCTCGGGTCCCCAGGGCGATCTGAGCAGCGGTTCACGTCGCGACGATGGCCAGCCCGACTTCACCGTCTTCAAGGACTTTGACTTCCTCGAGTACGAGGACAGCATTGCCGGCGAGTCCACGGACAACTTCAACTGGGGCGTGCGTCGTCATCAGTTGTTCGAGGGCGATGAGGATCGTCTGAATTGCGGCAGTGGCATCGGCGGCTCCATCAAGGGAGGCCATTCCTCCGCCCTGGAGGACAGCTTCAGTGACAAGACGCCGATACTGAGCAAGCGCAAACGCCAGACTGCGGACGATTCCTCTGATGAAGAAGCCGAATCCGAGTCCCCTCTGGATGAGGATCATCGCCAGTCGTTCCTGAAGTCCGGCTACAGTGCTGTGCCGCCCACATCCCTTAGTCTGCGTGAGAGGCGGCGTCGCAACTCGGTCTCGCGGAGCGACACCAGCGGTTCCAGTGCCGGGGATCTGGGCGATATTACGCCATGCAACGCCTCGCCGCATTTGCCGGGCATCATAAGATTCGGTGCCGCTATTCGGGATGAGGCGGAGGAGAACTGGCGGCGACAGTTGCAGGCCATGCTGGTGAACCAGCCCTCGGCTCACACCTCGGAGCTGCTGCAGCAGCTCAACAGGCTGGTCAAGGAGATCACCTTCAAGACGATTAGCATTTCGAAGGAGGCAAAGAAGTTCTTCACTGGCATTGGCTCCCAGCTGGGCAATCGGATCTCCCTATTCACCGACCTACTGAGCTCTCGGGCTGATCCGCCACAGGTGTGGTGCAGCGAGCTGCAAGCGACTACTCCAAAGCTGTTCGAGACGCTGCGCTTTAATGTGCTGGAAGTGCAAGAGCATTTGGAGACATTCTTCGACCGCAAGGACCAGGTCTTGGAGGTAAAGTGATGTTCGCATGTTTGCCATCAGAGACATTTTCATATGTAATCGTATATTCCAGTGCCTGGAC